TAGCTGAGTGTAATGAGGAATATATTTTTATTTTGTAATGCTGAGGTCACAAAAAAGTTCTTTCCTTCTACTTACCATAGACTGCATTCCGAGTCTTTCCTCTCTATAAATTTTACAGTTTCTCAATTTTTATATAGTCACGGTAAATTTGCAAGTTACCTGTTTCGTTTTAATCTAAGATCAACAATTTATGTGAATGTTCAGAAAGAGTACCTCAGGATGTGGAACATTTTCTCATGCCCTACATTTGATGGCCGTAGATTAGGCTCGCAGAACGATTTGAAAATTTTCGGAGTAACTTGACCAATGAACTTATCTGTTTCGTGAAGTCCAGACTAATGTTCTCTGCTTTTGTTCGTTTTATTTATGCATGCAACATTTAATGTTTTAATTAACTTAACTTCTGTAAGCCCCGTGTTGTACATATATGATGCACGGGGAGTCTGCATGTATTCAAATAAAAAAAAAATATAATATGGAAGAAAATCCTTGTTCCCACAAATAGGTTGTGCAAAAAGGCAATAAAAATGTAATAGCTTTATTTGAAATGTCTTAAATACTTTTAAATACTTTTCTTCGGTTCAGCCAAAAGTTAACACGTGTGTTATTTTAAAAATCTTCAGTTAGAGTTCGATTACAGGAAATTTTTATGAATTGTTCTGTATCTTCCCAAGATAAAATTTCATGTACATTTGAACTAAATGAATTTCTAATCAAATTTTCTTTTCCCTAATCCTTAAGAAAGTACATGTTGAAATTACTTATCGATGAAAAATATCGGATGCTAATTCTTCTTTTATTTTCAAATTAGTTTCTCTTAGAAAACGTTTTTAAATTGGTAAAACGCTTAAAATACTCTTATCCAATTCTTTGATTATTAACTTGAGTATTTTTATAATTGCATTTAGTTTATCTCTATTGGTAAACAAATTAACATTTTGTCCTTTTAATTCTAAATTTAATGCTCCAAAAATATCAGCTAAATATGCTGAACTTGCCAACCATAATGTATTAAATAAACAATTTTGCAATTCAAATTTTGAATCACAGAATCAAGAAAACTTGAATTTCTGATCAAAGTTCAAAAAGAAGATTTAAAATTTTGCCTCTGATTAACCGCTTTGCTCCGGAAAGTAACAAAGGCGTTACATATTCACTGCCCATCTCTTGGCATAAAATCATAACTATTCTTGCATTTAAAACTCGGGTCTTCATAAAATGAACCCTTTTCAGAACTTGATTCAAAACATGTTTCAGGTTTTCGGGGATTGCTTTGACTACTAAAGCTTCAGAATGAAAAACGCAGCGAGTAAATTTAGTTTCAGGTGCGACTTTCTTTATTTGAGAAATAACACCGGAATGTTTTCTTGTTAAAGCACGAGCTCCGTCTCTGCATAATTGTCAATTACTTTGAAAATTTCATTTGCTTTTGCTTATTCATGAAGAGATTTGGAAAATAAATACTCTTTGGCAATGCGTTTATCTTATTCGAAATGTATGTAAACTATTGAATTGAACAAATAAATAATTGAACAAAATTCGTTATCAGCACATTCATCCAAGTGCAATGCGAAATACTCACTGTGTTTAATTTTTTGAATAAGTGTTTCTTTTATAGAATTTGCCATTTAATGAATTCTTCGACTTACTGTATCATTTGATAACTGTATATTATTAAGGTCATTAGCCATTTTGCTGTTGAATAATGTTAAAGGCAATTCTTAGGCTTATTAGGTAACTATCTTCCAAAGCTTTTTCACTCGAAGTAACAAAATCTTTCATTACTTGTTTAATATTTTTGAACACACTTTTCAAAATAATCTTCAGATTTATCCTTTAAATTGGCATACTTGGTTTCTTAATTTAATTGGATAATAGTTCACTGCAAACAACACTTTGAGGTTGAGGGTTCTTTTACTCTCCATTCCAAATAAACTCAAATGATAAACAACTGTTATTTTATTTTGTATAAACAATGTTTCTTTTCTTTTAGATATTCTTAATGCTAGTAGATTGTAGTGGATCCACCACCTGGTGAATTATCACTTTTCAGCCTAGTCAATCCTAGCCATTTTTCCACTTCGAAAAGCTAGGTTTGTGTTATTAATATACTATGCATTTAAATATTTTTTCACAAATATTTAAATGCATATTTTTTCCTAAATATTTAAATGCACAGCATATTACGAGTTCTTTAAAAGTAAACGGCGGTGTTCTCAAATCGTATAGAAAAGCGAGGAATACAAAGCAACAAGAAGACAAAATACCTGCTGTTAAGAGACAGCAAATCGACGTAATAAAAGATTTTAATTGACAATAGAAGCAATTTGATAGCGGACATAAAGTGTAGACATGCTAATATATTGACAACTCTAAAAGAATTAATGATCTTTCTATAGGAACTTATTTTCATTTCCTATTACATACAACATCCATTTCTAAACATCATTTATTACAAATTTTGTTATTTCCATGGGTAAAAGAACATTTGTGAAAATAAAAACGGATTATTTTCCCAAAGTCTTGAGCGGCTACTGATCTTAAACAAAGCTTAGATCGCATAAATTTACGAGAGAACAAACTTAAATAGGACATCGGGGTAATTAATTTTAGAATTTAATAGTTAAAAATACTTCCTTTCTTTGAGTACCACTGGCTTTTCTTTTGCGTTCTACCAGTAGTACGCGTACCAACGGTTGAAAATCGGTGGTCTAGAACGTATTTTTGAGCATAAATTACCTGCAGTAGAAAATACTGTTTCTGCATCTAGTTGGTGGCTCTGTTAATAATGAGCGATGCAGTACTTCCTCTAAATATTTGCCTTGAATATCTTCATGTTCTAATAACTCGTCAGATGATTTTGGATAAATCTATTTTTTATATTATTTTTGCATTTGTGTAATTTGTTGCAGTTTTTTATTTATAGTTAACAGTATTTACTTACCGAGAGGCAATGTTTTTCCTATATTAATATCAACATCTTCTTAAAAAAATCCTCTGGATAGGCTTGTGTTTGATTTTCGTAAATGTTTTGGTAGAGATTTACGACAAACGTAATTAAATTTGACCTAGTTAGCTTGCAAGGTTTATCCTAAGTTTGTAGCAGTTATTTTTAAGTTTACGTTCCTTTCCTATCTCTCCTAATTTCAGCTTACAAATTCCTTACCAGAATGTGCTTTTGGAATTGCGTTTAATGCAAATGAGGTTGAGTAGTATTTAAGTCTAAGTTCCACTGACTTCGAGAGAGAGAAGCAGAGTTTCTGACTAGCCTACCTCTAGAGCCACATCTCTCTAAGCTATTATTACGCTCGGCCGTATTACGGGCCCTTGATAGCTTCGCTAGCTAAATTGATACTTAGGGGTCAACTACTTAGAATTGTGTTAGCTTCGACTAAATCTTCTTAGTTAGTCATTAGTTAAGTTCTTATTTCTTATAATTTTGAGTTCATGCCCAAGTGGAGACTTTGTTTTACGTCATGAGAAAGGTGCCATCTTTAATCCTTATTTTGAGCAATAAAGGGTAATTTCTTTGTGATTTTTACGTTTCTGTTACTGAACTTAAGCAATTATTCGTTTAGCTGTTCACCAGGTTCTTCCACACTTAGCTATTAAATAAAAGGGAGGAACACCACAAGCTTCTTTTCTTCTTTTTTGTTTTCTTTTTAAAAGTCTTTACAATTATGTAAATAACTTAAAATATTTTCTTGTTCACTATGCCGTTCTTCTATACACTGTATGATTATAGCATTTCCCAGTCTGTGGAATGCCCATCCCTGGGGGCGTATGGTCCTTAGTTAGGGGTACTTAGTGATGGTTTATTTACTCGAAAAAATGATGAGCGATGACGAAAAATAATAAAGTATTATAAATGCTGATAAAAATCAAAATATTCAGAAAGTTTTAATTTGGTTTTGACTATTTCCAGTGATCGCTATTGACAGAAAAGTATTCAAAATCTATGTAACAAATTGCAACTAACCCGCTCACGCACGCCATAATAATCCGTTTCTTACGCATCATATATAGCCATTCCCTACTTCTTTCCTCACTACGCAAGCTATACAGTAATTGCGAGCTAATTGTATTTTTAATGTACTGAACAAATCATCAAGTTAGTTGTGTAGCTCTCTTTCCTTAAACTGTAATATACAAACCAGTTTGAGTGAAATGCTTTGTCTTGATTTCCTGTCTTTAAAATTCTTAAATGTAAAGTGTTATTGATATAAAAATAGAAAAAAGTTAAAAAGTAGATCTTTGCATCCAATAAATAGAATCCACTTGTGGATAACAGCTCTAATCTGATGTCTACACCAAACAAAGATTGGGAGATCAGCAATTTCAGTTAAGTTTGAAATTTCACAAAGATAAGTGGTTCCAAAGACTTGCATAACCATGCAGCACTTTTCAGTAAGAAATAAATTCAATTTAGGATTGCTCAATGGCTCTATAACTGTTCCAGAACGTCTGAAAAAAAGTGATCTTATGCTTAAAATGTTAGAATTTGGTTAATCATATACTGTAGAAAAAAAGTATAAATATTTGAAACACTTTACGAATTTCTATTAGAAATGTTAGCACAATTTACAAACGAAATCATAGAGAACATAATAATCCTCTTACAAGATCTCCAAGGGATGTTCAAATATTCCTTGTCCAAACAAAGTGAGTTAGAGGCATTTCAAATCTCTTCAATGAATTTTTTCTTAAAGCAGCTTCAAAATTATCATTCTTTGAAAAAGAAAAGCTTAGGTTTTTCTGTCTTTATACATTCCGGTGTATTAAATAACTGTTCAAATAACTATTGCAAAATATATTGCGAGAACAATGGAGTTGTGTCATAGGTTCTGAAGAAGGAAGTGAGGGGTATTCTAAAGTCTCAGGGGCATGCAAAATTAAAAAAAAAATGGATACCGCTACTCTAATATAACCGTTCACAATGATGTAATAAATTGATTTAAATTATATTTCTTTCCTTTCTTTAAAATAATAAAAGGCAGTACCATTTCCTTGGCTATCGTTTGTCGGGCAGATTACTCCTCGTTGAGGGATAACGGTAGCTGCTAGGAACATAGGATGATAGCATTTACATCGTCTATAGAATTCCAAACCAACGCAGTGCTTTTCGCAGTGCTGAAAATAAACAATGTTTTTTTTAAAAAAACGAAATGTTTTTAAAAAAATGCATTTAAAAAATTTAGTTTGAATTTACTTAGTTCAAAATAATTTGAGAACAAAAAACATATATTTAGTTTTTATTGAAGCAAAATTATTCATAAAACAGATTAATTATCTTTTAATAGTCTGTCTCAGTTTCTACAGTTTTGAAATACTCACTATCAATAAAAATAAAATTTTGGCTCACTTGTTAAGTAAAATGAAGATAGATTTCAGACAAATAGCAAAAAATAAAATAATATAAAAAGTCTTACTAAAGCTTTAGAATAAAATGCATTTGCACGATTTACATTTCATAACAACGATTAGCATTTATGACTGAAATTTTTGTGTGGCTTATTTCTTTTCAGATTGGAAAAATGAGTAGAACATTTTGGGTATAGGTTCATCACAGTCTTCGTACTCAACATTCTTCATGGAAAGTGTAGTCTTTTAAATTTTATGATTGGATATCGCACACCAGAAACAATATACCATTTCGTTTTCCAAGTTACCATTTTTTTAAAAAAATGCCTAAATTTTAAACTAATTAATTTTCCTCTTTTTAAAACAACGCAAAAAATTCTCAGCCTGTTTTGTGTACTGTATACTTACATACGAATGACGTCGGAGCAGGTTATGTCTTATAAATGAATTCAAATAATACCAGACCTTAACATCATTTAAAAAAATGTTTAGTTCCTTAAAATTTGCGTATTATGCATCGATGTATTCTTATAAATTCCAATTTCATTCTTCTGAATTAATTTAATATTGTGGACATTTTATTATAAAAATTTACTTTTACTTCAGGTTTGATTTAAAATAATTATAAATAGTATATTATGTTATTTTCTGCTTTCCTGTTAGAAAATTTACCTTTAGAGAGGATGACTTTATCTATATCTATTTCTCTCTCTTCTTATGTATATATATATATACATATATAACTAGCAAGACAACATGAATTAGAGAGACCTTAGTGGTCAAGAATTTTGCGCATTGAGCTGCAAAAAACTTTTTTTTACATATATATATCCTTACTATCATTAATCCAGAAGAATGGAAACTTTTACTCAACAGTATTCTATTTAACAATTATCTGCAATTTCATAACAATATCTTTAAACAAGTACAAGGAATTCCTATCGGGGAAAATTGCTGGACTGCAATCTGTGGTCTCTTCCTTTTCACTCAAGAATTTAAATTTATACGTTCACTTAATGATGAAGAACACAAGTATTACGAATACATCTTTCGCTATATTGATGATGTTATTCCATTTAACAACTTCAACAAACTTGAAAATGCAAATATTTATCCTACTTGCCTCAAGCTTAATACTACTAAAGCAATACAAGATGATATAGTTTACCTAGGTCTTCAAATTCTAAAGTACAATCTTTTTAAAATTTTTGAGAAACTCAAAGATTTCAATTTTCATACACTCAAACTCACTAGCTGGAATTATAACATTTCTAAAAAGGTCATTATTAATACTTTAATTCACAACTCCTTAGAATTAAAAAAATTTGTGATAACACAGCCTCTCTCCAAGAAGAATTACTCTACTTCACTAAAATCTTACAAAGCAATCTTATTCCAAATACTATCATTAAAAATTCCTTAAATAAGCTGGCATTTACCTTTTATTTTAGATTATTTGTTTGGAGATATGACATTTTTTACCCAAATCTTAAAGGAAGGTAGATGATGGATGGCTAAATCAAATGATCTAATGTAAAAATGTAACATAGTTTCTAAATACTGAATCAATTGTTTCTCTCTAGAAACAAAAAAAGCAGGTTAAAATTTTCTCTCTAGAAACAATTGGCTTAGAACTTCAGTTAATTTATTAAATTGATTATCACTATTTTCTGGCCAACCCTATCCTTTCATTAATTTTAAAGGCCAATTTCGTTTCGAACTCATTTGTCAGCCCTCTAGCGCGAAGAATTACGACTTTTACTAACAAATTGCTGATTTTTTTTCCAATTTTAACCTGCCTTTGGGCAGATAAACACTTTCTTTGATTTTCGCCATTTTTTTATCGTCTTCAGTTTTTAAGACGACTTAGACCTGAACAAGATGCCATTCTGTAACAGCCGTCTTCCACCTTCCAACCCCCTTTTGGATCCTGTGTTTTTTCTCCACTAACCGTTTAGTACCATTGACTACTGCTTTAATACGTTTGTTTTCTCCTTGCACGTCGTCTCACCTAATTGGTGAAATTTGACTGCTTTTCTATTATGGAAGCATTTCTTTGGAATTCATCTAATTCCGGCAACCTTTTTTCGCGATATTTGCTCACTTTAATTTGAAAAGGCTATAGCTTTGGACGCAGCTAGTCGTTATTTTTATTTTATATTTTTTTTAACAAAGTTTTTATTCTTCGATTTAATAGGGCTTACCCTTAAAATTGTGTATTTTTTGACTAATAGCTTTTAAGCTATTTATTTTAAATTGTACATTTGCCAACCCAAGCTACTTCGTATAGGTTTTTCTTATATCCGTTTCAAGTTCTAAAATAAAAAGGAATTTTTTTTTAAGCATAAAAATTTTCTTGTTTTCTATTTTGCTCTTTAAATTCAATTTTAATTTAATTTGCAGACGCGTCGGGAAATGAGATGAAGCTATTGAGACATAGCTATAATAAGATAATTTAATTTGGTGATTCTATTAATGAATTTCTGCTTTCTGTCTGAATTGATTCGTTTGACGAATCGCACCTATGGTATTAACTAAATTGGAGTTTTCTCACACTTTTCCCTTGATAAGTCCGTGTGAAACCTCGAATTGGGCTAATTGACCATTTATTGCATTCTTTGTATATAACTTCTATGCCTTTAAAATGTTTTTGATTGTTTGCGTACATAATATGAAGTTTTTTTATGTTTAAAGAAATTTTTTAGTCTTTTCTTATTTCATTTTTGTTTTTAAAGTTTATATTGTTTTGTAGATTTTACAGTAGGTTTTTTCATGTTAACCTTTACCGCTTTAGTATTGTATTATTGTTTATACTTGGTGTAACTTTTTTACTCTGGAACTGCAGTATCAAATGCACTTTAAAGCATTAGCGAATTTGAACTTTCCTCTTCTGTGAAAATATTTTTAAAATTTTGCAGCTCAATGTGCAAAATTTTTTGAAAAATAGGTCTCTCTTTAATTTACTATTTTCTACTTATATATATATATATATTGTTTCATAAGAATAAATTGAGTTTAATTAAAAAAATTAAATTTAAATACATATTTAATTAAATATTCTTTGCGCCATTGCTGCAAGGAATGAAATTTAAATTCTTAACAAATACGTATAAAAGTAAAAAAAGTAAAAAAGCAAATTTAAATTCTAAAAAAAGGAAAAAAGCCAAAAAAATTTAAAATAATTTAAAAATATGCAAACATGCAAAAGATTTAACTCTCGAACTAATCTACAATATCATTTAAATTCAGAAGCATAAGCAAATCAAGTGCAAAATCTATCCATGAAAATAAATCTACTAATTTAATAAATTAAAATTAAATTAAACAATTTTTTTAAAAAATGCATATGTGAATGATCGTAGAGTAGGCAGGAGACAGACTTATCAAGGGGAAGTTGCCTCCAAACCTCTCCAGTCATTCAATTCGTGTTTCGTCATTCATGCAGGCAAGGGTAAAAGTCAAAACCAAAAGTAATTCCAATAAAGTGGTACTCCTAGAAATTAACATTTAAGAATTAAAGTTCAAAATGGAAAATACTAATTAAGTCTTTTGAGAAACAAGCAAGTAAAGTTAAGAATTAAAAATTTCTTAAAAAAATTAAATTTTTAAAAAATTAATTTTTATAAAATAATAAAAGAATTAATTTTTTATAAAAATAATAAAAAAAATAATAAAATCTTTTATAAAAAAAATTAATTTTTTAAAAATTTAATTTTTTAAGAAAAAAGTTTAATTCTTAACTTTACTTGCTTGTTTCTCAAAAGACTTAATTAGTATTTTCCATTTTGAACTTTAATTCTTAAATGTTAATACTTAAATGTTAATTTCTAGGGGTACCACTTTATTGGAATTACTTTTGGTTTTGACTTTTACCCTTGCTTCATGAATGACGAAACATGAATTGAATGACTGGTGAGTTAGGTTTGGAGGCAACTTCCCCTTGATAAGTCTGTCTCCTGCCTACTCTACGATCATTCACATATGCATTTTTTTAAAAAAATTGTTTAATTTAATTTTAATTTATTAAATTAGTAGATTTATTTTAATGATAGATTTTGCACTTGATTTGCTTATGCTTCTGAATTTAAATGATATTGTAGATTAGTTCGAGAATTAAATCTTTTACATGTTTGCATATTTTAAAATTATTTTAAATTTTTTTGGTTTTTTTCTTTTTTTAGAATTTAAATTTGCTTTTTTACTTTCTTCCTTTTATACGTATTTGTTAAGAATTTAAATTTGTTTAAATTTAAAATATATATATATATATATATATATCATATTTCATAGCTTATTCTTCCCCCCTTTTTCTACTAGTATACTAAATAGTTTCCTAGTTGTGCGTATAAGTTTACGTTGTTACCATAAATAAGAGATTTTAAAATCACGCCTTTGGAAAAATAATGAGTAAATATGCGATAGGCGAGTGAATACAATATATATAAATAACTAATTGATATAAAATGTACATTTGATCAAAACTGAAATAAAAATAAAATAAAGCAAAAACATTCAATTAAAATAACATAATAAACTTAATACAAAGTAATAAAATTTATATAAAAAAAGTGTTGAAAATTCCTTGATATTTTTTAAGGAGCAGACGAAGAATTTTCAATAGAGCCACATTTCCAAATTACATTTGGATAATTAAAAATCCTTGAAATAAAAAAAAAAAAAAAAAAAAAAACATATAAAAAGTGTAAAAAAAATTAAAAAGGGTAATAAATTAAACATTTTGAAAATCCGGAAATTTAAAAATGCAATAG